CATTTGGCGGGCAACAGCGATCAGAGTCGAGAATCGTCCATTCTGTGAAGGGCGGTTAGGGTGAACTAGGCAGCGGGGCGGCGCAGTGGGGGGAATGCGCCACGAGACAGGGCGGCGCGCGGCAGGCAGGAAGCCCGCCGGAGGGGGGGGAGGGACTCGCCAACGGCCCTTCTCTCGTATACCCTCTCGGAGCCTCCCCGGAAGCGTCTAGGCGGGGAGGGTGGTGCCCAAGGAGCGCGCCAACGACGAGTACGACGCGGCGAGGCGGCGGCTGCTCGAGGTGGACGCCGGCCTGCAGCAGGAGCTGTCCCGCTGGCGGCGCGAGCTGCGCGACTCGTCCATCGAGCTGTGGACGCCCTCCGTCGCCAACGGGCAGACGACGGAGCCCTTCCAGCTGGCGGTGGCCGAGAAGACGCTGCAGAAGCAGGGCACACCCGAGGAGCGTGCGCGCATTCGATGCCGTCTAGCCTTCCCGGCACCTTCCCGGCACCCTTCCGGGACCCTTCTAGGAGTTTGCGCAGCAGATGTCGTCCAAGAAGGGGACCAAGCGCTTCTGGACGGCCGAGCTGCGTGAGCTCGCGGGAGAGCATCTCGAGGCGAAGGCGGCGGAGGAGGCCGCCCTCGCCGCCGCCGCCAAGCAGCTCTTCGCGCGCTTCTCCGCGCAGTACGCCATCTGGCGCAACGCTGTCTCGTGCGCCGCCGAGCTCGACTGCCTCCTCTCACTCGCTCGCGCGAGTAGCGCCGCCGGGATGTGCCGCCCAGCCTTCGTCGCGGAGGCGGAGCCCTTCCTTCACATCCAGCAAGGCGTCAACCTGTGCGTGCAGTCGGCGCTGTCCGACGGGCAGTGCATCCCCAACGACATCCGGATGGGGCCAGCGCCAGACGGGGCCGGCGGCGGCGGCGAGGGCGACGCGGCGCGCTTTCTGCTGGTGACGGGGCCGAACATGGGCGGCAAGTCGACGGTGCTGCGGCAGGCGTGTCTGACGGTGCTGATGGCGCACCTCGGCTGCTGGGTGGCGGCGGAGGCGTGCTCGCTCTCGCCCGTCGACCGCATCTTCACGCGGGTCGGCGCGAACGACGCCATCATGGCCGGCCTCTCCACCTTCCGCGTCGAGCTCGAGGAGACCTCGCTCATCCTCAAGCACGCCACCGCGCGCTCGCTCGTGATCCTCGACGAGCTCGGCCGAGGCACCGCCACCTTCGACGGCATGGCCATCGCCCACGGCACCCTCCGCCACCTCGCCCTCGAGACGCGCTGCCGCTGCCTCTTCGCGACGCACTACCACGCCCTCTCGCGCGAGTTTGAGCGCGCCAACCCGCACGTCGCGCTCTTCCACATGGCGTGCGCCGTCGACGAGGGGAGCCGCGCGGTCACCTTCCTCTACCGCTTCCAGCCCGGCGCCTGCAACCGATCGCACGGCGCCCTTTCCCCTCGCCGCCGCCGGCTGCCCGCGCCGCCTCGCGATGACGGGGGCGCCTCTTCACAGCGGCCGTGACGTGAGCAGGCATCCACGTCGCCAAGCTCGCCGGCCTCGCGCCGCCCGTCCTCGAGGAGGCGGCCGCCGCCTCGCAGGCGCTCGAGGACGAGGTCGAGGAGCGGCGGCTGCTCGAGAGCCTGCGGCAGGTGCTGCGCGCGCGGGGCGACGCTGCCTAAGGGCGAGAAGATGGCGCGCTGCCCCTCTCGCCTGCGCCTCTGCACGTCGGAGCGCCTGGTCGCGACGCGGGCGGTCGCTTTTCTCGCAGAGGAGGCGCTGGGAGCGCCAGCTTCTAGCTCTGGCGGAGAGAGAGAGAGTCACCATGGCTCGTGCCTCGTAGCGCTTAGCGGCGCGTCGAGTGTTGTCCACGGTCCTAGTAGCCGGGGTTTGCCCCTGCGACTCTTCCTGGATCCTGCGCATTGCTTCGTAGTTCGTTTCATAAGAATGCGGGGCACCCGTCGCTATGACCTATGTGTTGCCTGCCGCACCGCCCAGGACTGAGCCATGCGATGTCGTAAAGCCTGTCGAGGCCTGGCCCGATAAGCGATATGTTCCAAAAGCATGTTTACACTACCCGATCCCGTCGGGGTCGGGGTCGGCAAACCTCGAAATGTGCACCTTGGATGGCTGCGCTCCCTGTTTCACAGCCATCAGTGATAAGGATGGCTGGCACGCCTAGATCTCAGCCATACACTCCTACCCGATGGCTGAGATCTAGGCGTGCCATCCATCCTTACTTACTTATCACGGACTAGCAGGTTGGCTCGCTAGTCGCTCGCCGGCCCGCGCAGCACGCGCGGGCCTTTTTTGTGGTCGGATGTTGGTCGTCTCGAATTTGATCGTGGGCAGGGCGTGAGAAAGCTGGACGGCTCGGTCGATGCGAGCCACCAGCTCGTGAGCGACGGGCGCGACGGGTTCCTCGGCGTAGGCTTGGGCGTGGTGAGCAGCGCCGGCGAGAGAGGGACGGCATGCGGCTCCCAAACGAGCCGCACGGGCTTCATCTGGGCCGCCGAGGCCACCTCCTTGGTCGCGGTGGCGGGCGTGAAGGCGAGGTGGGCCGAGGCAAGCGCTGAACGTGCCGTGCCGCCTTGCGCCCCTGAGGAGGGACGAGTGTGTGGGGTGCCACGGGCGGGGGGGAGCGGTGAGAGGAGAGCGGTGGGCACCCCCACGAGGGGCTGCGCGGACGCCGCCTGCCACCCCACGCACGCCACTGACGCTGTGGGGGCGGCACGATCGAACGCGCTGGTCGGGCGGGCCGTCTGAGTCGCCCAAGCGGTGCTCTGCCGGCCGGTGGACGCGAGGGTGGCCCAAGAGGGCTCAAAGTACGGAGCCGATACCCGGCCGTCCCGGACGCCTGGCACGCGGGCCAATGGTCCAGCGTCCTGTGCATGGCTGGAGCGAAGGAGGGAGAGCTCAGGAGGGCGACGGGGCAGGGAAGGGGGCGATGCGATGCGGCGAGGTCTAATCGGCGGCGTGGAGAGAGGAGGTGCCAAAAGGCGACTATAGAGAGGCCTCTACGGGTGATATAGTGCGCCATGCCGGCGGGAGAGGTCTCTCACCGCCCCCCGGGCCGTCTCGAAGGGCCGTGCAGCCCACGCCACGAGGCGCTGCTGGCGGGAGCCTGGAAGGACTTGGCCTCGTTGCACCGCGCCGCGTTGATTCGCGATCACCGTCGGCCGCGGACGGCGTCGGCGTGGCGGCCGCGGGCGCTCGCGAGACGCGCCGCTCTGCGCTGGTTCGGTTCGTTCGACTCGTTGTGCCGCCGTACGCCCGGCGGCCGCGGGTCCCAGAAGTGGTTGCGCGGGCCTCTTCCTTTCGGCCGCGGGACGGCGTCGGGCACGTCGTCGGTCGCAACAGCGGCGCGGCGAGCCGCGGCACGTCGTTGCTGGCGCTGGTGGTTTGAGGTCGGCATCGTCCAGAGCTCGGTCGACGAGTCGAGAGCTTCAGCTGGTCGGGTGCCATGTTTGTGCGGAAAGTGGCAAATATATCTCTTTGATGTGGCTGCAATTAATTGCAGGATCATAGCCACTCCGCCCTGCAAGCACGCGCCATTTTGGCTGCCTTCCAGCCAGTGCAGCCATCCTCCGGCCGATGGCTGCGATGGCTGTGCCCCGGCCATCCGCCCGGCCGCATGATGGCTTCATACAGCCGTCGCAGCCATCGGCCGGAGGATGGCTGAGCTTACTAAATCCTGACCAAGCGTTCCAACGCGATGGCTGAGAGATAACGACGCCAGCCATCCAGAACAAGGGTGTGGTGGCTCGCGGAGCGAGAGTGGAGCCACCTGGGCTCGTGTCGGGGTCGAGTGTCGGGCGGCGAGAAGGCTGGGTCGAATTCGAAATCACCCCGTTTTCGCCCATTTTCGGTCATCCGTCAAAATATCTGAAGATCTCAATGGGGGATTCTCCCCAAACCTTGCTCAGCTGATCCAGCATGGGTCGTAGGCCAGGCCTGGGCAAAGAAACCAGCACCTCATCAGGCTTCCCTGAGCGTCACAGCTCGGTGATCGCGCCGGCCGGACACCACTGTGACGTCCGTTCCGGGCATTTGAACGCGACCTTCGGGGGCAAAGACATGGGCTCTATGGCTCAGACTGGACTCCTCTTGGTCCCTTCTGATGCCCTAGGCCACACCTGGGCCTTACCTGGGGTTCTAGGGGCCGGGCGGGGTTTGCCACCCTAAAGGGGCCCGGAGGACCTTAAGAACGGTCTTTAAAAGAGGGACCCCCCCCGTCCCTGCAATCTCTTCAATGGCAAGTTAAGCCCCCATACCTCAGGGACAGATCCGTGAAGTCTTCGCGAACATGTCAAAGGCCTAAGGAGCTCTCGTCTAGGCCGAAGGCGAGGCTCCCTCGCCAGTTGAGGATGGACCGCCCACGTGGTTCGACGACTTCAACGACAACTTCAGAGTCGGCGAGCAGCAATCGGTACTCAGAGCGAAAGAGCCATACGGTGATAGGTACCGCCGCCGAGCCCACAACCAATGCGACTCCGGACAGCTTGTTCCAAATGCCGCCAATAGACCATACGAGAGTATGGCACAAGCAATGATGAGCGATACTACGCCGAACCAGAGCGCGTGGCGCGCAGCTGTGCGCAGCGGAGTGAACTTCCGCACCGTCATCGATAGCGCACTGAATCGCGCGTTTTGTGCCGCCGAATTGTTCTGGCGCGTGCTTCTCCCAACAACCATGTGGATGTAGTACACTTCGAGAAGCGCAAAAGTGGTCGAGAAGAGGGAGAGCGCGGCAGACACGGCCAGCAAGAACTTGACCACATCGGGACCGGGCACCCAATCGACAAACAGGATTGCACTAGGCACGGGACTGGCGCGCACTGGCAGGCACTAACACAGGTACACCAGAATTCTAATACATGCGCCTCTCACACCAGACTGGCAAAAGAAAAAACGGACACAGTGATCTGTGATCTGTGAGGGCGCAGGCGCATTTTGTATACCGACTGCCCACAGTCTCCCCACAGTCCTTTATCCTTCCCAAACTGTCACTCCCCTTTCTCCCGGCCGGGCGGGGCGGGCGCGCGCGGGGGCGGCGGGTGTGCGGGATGTCTGTGGGCCCGCGAGCGATGTGCGTGTGTCCGCCTTGCGTTTGTTTCATAACATCGAAGGCTAGCTCAAAGAAAAGGCGATACCCTGATACCCTTCCTCGATTGTACTAACTAGGCGAAACACCCGAATCCAACGACCCCGCTCGGCTGTGTAACCCTACTCGCCCATGTCTGCTGGTCCCCGCTGAACTGGCACCTCGGCAGGAAGGCGCCCTTGGCGTCGCTCTGCCCCAGGGTGTAGCTGGCCACTGCTGCTGCACCGTTGTACACGGTAGCCCAATTCAAGAAAGACGTGTGGTCCCTTACGTGCTGAGCACCTGGAGCGAGAACGAGCATTGCGTCGCTGTTGATCTGGACCTCGTCAACGACGACGGCGATGGGAGCCAGCGCAGCTGGCGGAGCCTGCTGCTGCGCCATCTCCACTTGTCCTCTCCTCTCCTCCCACCTCACAGAAAACTGCGGCCGCCAGCGACTGAGCGTCTCGCTGGCGGACGGGGAGAGGAACACAAAGGGACGTCCGGACGTCCATCCACTGGGATGAGAATACTGGAGATCTGAGGTCGAATCTGCCGATTCCACAGCCGCCCACAGGAGCGCCGCCTCAACACGGGGTCTCGGCTCTATCGAGCCATGCTAGCTCCAGCCGCAGCCCCACCCGGCCGCCCGAGGGTGTTCCCGCAGGCAGAGAAGACCAATCCTGGGGGAAGTAACCGAGTGGCGCTCTTCTTCTCCCCCTCGTTCTTTGCTGGACTGGCTGCGGGACTTCCCGAGACGACATGCTACATCTCGTTTCTTAAAAGGTCTTAAAAAATCCGGCCCTCAGAAACCAGGGGTCCCCCGCTAAGGGCAAAGGGGTGTGTTCCTATCAGTATCTCGTAGAGTTCTCTCGCAACTTCTTGCGCGCGCCGAGAGCCCCGCACGCACTCTCGCTTGCCGCTTTTTTCTCGCTCCAGCCCTCCGGCCTTACATAGCGGACCGGAGGGCTACGAGGCCTTCACACTGCAAACGGGGACTGACGTCTTGCACGGCTCTAGCGCCTCAAGACTCGCCACCGCGACGCGCACACCCACTCGATTGACGAACACAACACCGGGTGCGAGACCACGAGAACACACACACACAACCACCACACCGTGCCCTGCTGAACGCGCCGGGAGAGTGAGCCAGCGCCAACCGCCAGAGCGACCCGACCCGGTCCGGCGGCGCCTCTTCCCACCGGCCGCCTCAGACCAAGACGCCGTCGTCCGACTTGCTTCCGCTCCCCGAGTCGTCGCGTTCGAGCGGCGGCGCGTCGCTCCTCGCCGACGCATCGGCGGCCTCCTCGGCCTCGCCTGCGGCCGCCGCCTCCGCCGCCTCGCCCTGCCCCTCCGCCGTGGCCTCGGCGGCGGCGGCGGCGGCGGCCCTTTGCGCAGCGCGGCAGGCGGGCTTGTGCACCTTCCAGTGCTCCTTTTGGCACGCCTCGCTGCAGTAGTGCACCTCGCGGCACCCCTTGCACCGCATCAGCCCCACACGGCCGTCGCTCCCGCACACCGCGCACCGAGGCACCTCCTCCTCCTCCTCCTCCTCCTCGCCGCCACCGCCGCCGCCGCCGGGCTCTGCTGCTGCAGGCGGCTCCGCCAGTGCCTGAGCGGGCGCGCTCGCGTCCGCGGCCCCGTCGCCGCGGATGAGGTACACGTACGCTGCGGCGACGAGGCCGGCGGCGGCGGCGCCGGCCAGCGCCACCAGCGGCGCCGGCAGGCCTTGCGACGCTGGTGGTTTCGGCTTCTTTGCGGCAACCTTGAGCAGCAGGCGGCGCGCCGCCTCGCGCGACGCCTCCTTGGTCTGGAGCGACATGGTGCGGTCGTCGCGGCGCGCGCTGGGCTGGTGCGGGCTCGAAGGGACGGGCGGAGAGTGGAAGCCGGCGACTTCCGCTTGTTCTCGCACGTGCCGGCCCGCCAGCAGCGTGCGCACAAGAATTTTGCAAGCGCGGACTCCCTCGCACGACACTAGGCACGGGACTGGCGCGCACTGGCACTAACACAGGTACACCACAGAAAGAATTTTCTCACCTGTGGGCACGGGGCAGTTCAGAGGGCCTGAGGGACTGGGAGAGAGGCGGTCTCCTAGAGGCGATTGCGTACTATAGATCGAAGCTAGAGGCGGTGGTCTTCATGTGGGTGCCAGCACACGTGGGAATAGCCTGCAACGCGTACGCCGACGCGGTGGCGACAGCAACCTCGGAAATAACGACACGGAGGACGCGGACGCCTCAAAAGTGGTGCGGGACGCGGTGCGAACCCGGCCATGCATGTACACGGTGCGAAGGGAGGCGGCAGAGGACACAGAGAAGAGGGAGATAGTGGACCGTCGGACGTACGGGCACATGTGTCGGAGCGCGCACGAGTGGGTGTGCGAACAATTCCGAAAGACAGTGAGGCCGGTGGTGGACCTTCTGTCGCGGCGTGGCGCTGAGCTCAACCTGCAGAACAGCAACGGCGGCACCGCGCTGATGGCCGCCGCCGACAAAGGCCACGAGCGGGTGGTCGAGTTGCTGCTTCTGCACGGCGCGGGGATCGACATGCAGAGCAGCAAAGCCGGCACCGCGCTGAATGTTGCCGCCACTAACGGCCACGAGCGGGTGGTCGAGCTGCTGCTGAAGCGCGGCGCAGAGATCGACTTTCAGAATAGCAACGGCGACACCGCGCTGATGGACGCCGCCAGCCGAGGCCACGAGCGGGTGGTCGACCTGCTGCTGCAGCGCGGCGCGGGGATCGACCTGCAGAGCAGTGAGGGCTGGACCGCGCTGATAGTCGGTGCCGGCTCGAATAAACCCGCTGTCGTTCACCGCCTGCTGCGAGCGGGATCAGACACAACGTTGCGCGACGAGGACGGCAAGACGGCGCTGATGCACGCAAAGGATGAGGGCCACATCGAGTGCGCGCGCGCTATCGAGGAGCACGTGGGCGAGAGGAAGAAGGGGACGGGCGCGCTCGCTTCCTCCGTGACGTGGAGCTTTCTCCTCGTCCTGTGCTCTCCGGGCGGGTTTTGCGTGACGTGGGGCGTAGTCGGCAGCGCGTTGCTGCTTCTCCCGCCCTACCGGAGCCGCCAGCACGCCCCGGCACGACGGCGGGGGCGAAGGCGAACACTGGAGGGTACGCAGCGGTTCGTTCGGCCGCACCGGTTGATGCTTCACTCCTTGTGGGCGTGGGCGACTTCTTGGCGACGCGGGACGCGGGAGCCGGAGCAAGGCCAACGGCAGCGGCCAGGGCGACAAGGACGGCCAGAGAAGCCGGTGGCGTGGCACATTGCGGAGCCTCGTCGGCGGCGGGTCGCTAGAGCGGCGCGGCCATCTTGGGAGGCGGCGGCTGCGCAGCAGGCGGTGAGCGCAGAGCGAGAGGAGCAGCGTGCGAGGGCGGAGACGGCAAGGGCGGAGAAGGCGAGGGAGCCGCGCGAGCAGGAGCGGCGGGCAGCGGCAGCGGCAGCGGCAGCAGCAGAGGCAAAGGCAGTGGCAGCGGCAGCAGCAGAGGAAGAGGCGGCAGCAGAGGAAGAGGCAGAGGTAGCGGAGGAGCGCGCGAGGGAGGAGGGCGAGGGGGAGGGCGAGGAGGACGTCGCACCCCTCGCGGCCGTGCCTCTGTCGGAGGCCAACTTTGATACTGGCCGCCCGGCCGTGCCTGAGTCGACCCTCGGCGGCGAGTCAACATGCATAATTTGCTTCACCCGGCCAAAGTCGCACGCCGCGGTGCCTTGCGGGCACCGCTGCGCTTGCGCCGACTGCTCCGCCAAGATCATGGAGCGTGACGGTCGGTGCCCGTACTGTCGCGAGGAGGTGATGATGTGGATGATTCCACGTGAGGTCTGAACTCTGATTTGCGGGGTTTCCATTGGTGGTATTTCCTAAAGAATTACTTAAAGTCACGTCTCTCAGTCTCACCTGTGAGACCTGATAGGTGATAGCCCAGTCCCCCAGAGTGCTCCCCACCGCGCGCGACCCACCAGCTGCTCAGCGCCTCAGCCCTCGAGGCTCAGCCGCGACGGGCACTTGCCCACGAGCCAGAGGCTCAGCAACCTGCCCCTGTTGCTCGGCAGCAGCAGGCTGTTGTTGTTCACGGGCCACCACAGCCTCTTCGCGTAGCACGGAAAAAAGGTTTCTCATTTATGGTTTACACCCTGAATTCTTTGTGTGCGCGCCACAGTCCCGTGCCCAGTAAAAGAAAGAAAGAAACAAACCGAACAGACAACCCAGGGAGGGATGGGAGGACGGCACGCCGCCACCACACACTCACACACACACCACACAGGGATTTTAAGGAGAGGAGTGTCCAGTGCTGTCGGATTCCTCAATTCTTTTGACCGGAGGCGGCGCGGGCGGCAGGCGCATGCGGGTGAGGGTTGGGCGGGGGGCGGACCCGAGAGCGGCTCAAGGGTTTGTCCGGTCCGGTGGGCGGGGTGGGGCGGGGCGGAGCCGGGTGGATCGGTCGGGTCGGGTCGGGCTGGGGCGGGGTTGCTCGGGTCGGGGTGGGGCGGGGTTGTGGGGGGTGGGGATGTCGGGGTGGGGTGGGGTGGGCGCCGGAGTGGGAGTGGTGTGACTGCTCCTGTGGCGACGCTTCGCCCCGGCTTGCCCTCGTGAATCGTGTGTCTCTCCGCCCGCCTGGCTTGGAGAAGTCTGCCGCCGCGCCGGTCGCGCTGCTTCTTGCGCCTCCCATGCGTGCGCATTGCGTTCTGCTGAGTCTAACCGTCGTGGCGATCGACGCGGCGGCCGTGCCCCCAGAGCCCCTGCAGCGCAGGGCGCTGCGTGGCGGCGGCGGCGGCGGCCGGAGAAACCGCAACAAAGGTTTGGGTGGTGAGGCACAGGCGTCCGAGAGCGGCGACGCGGTGGCGGTGCCAGCGCAGGCGGTGGCGGTGGCGGCACCTGTTGGCTCGTCGGCGCCTGCTGCTCTCGCCGTACCCGTCCAGGCTGTCGCAGTGGCGGCTCCCGCGACTGCGACGGCGGTGCAGGCGGTGGCCGTGGCCGTGGCTGCCGAGCCGGTGGCCGTCACGCCAGCCGCGGCAATGCCAGCCGCGGCTGTGGCCGCGCCGCTCGCTGCGCCTGTTGCTGTCGCTACGCCAGAGGCTGTGGCGCCCCCGTACGCAGTGGCGGCCCCACAGGCAGTCGCGCCGCCAGAGGCGGTGGCCGCGCCGGTCGCGGTGGAGCCCCCGGTGGCGGTGGCGCCGCCCGAGGCGGTCGCTGCCCCGGTGGCCGTCGAGCCCCCTGAGGCGGTCGAGCCGCCCGTCGCCGTGGCGCCGCCCGAGGCGGTGCAGGCGCCGGTGGCGGTGGCGGCGCCTGTGGCGGTGCAGGCGCCGGTGGCGGTCGCGCCACCCGAGGCCGTCGCACCACCCGAGGCCGTCGCACCGCCCGAAGCCGTCGCGGCGCCGGCGGCCGCCGTGCCCGTGGCGGTGCCTGCGGCGGTGCTGCCAGCAGAGGCTGCCGCTGCGTCGGCTGCAGGGAGCGAGGGCAGCGGCCGGGCGCACCGGGGGAAGGAGAAGGCCGCGGCGAGGGCTGCCGAGCGCGAGCGTGCGGCGGCGGCGGAGAAGTCCGAGGCGGAGAGGGCGGCGGCGGAGAAGGAGGCGGCCAAAGCAGCGAGGGACAAGGCGGCGGCGGACCAAGCGGGGGAGAGGGCGGCTGCGGAGAGGGCGAAGGCACAACTCGCGGCGCAGAGGGCGGCAGAGGCGGAGAAGGCTGCAACGGCAGAGAGGGCGGCAGCGGCAGCGGGGAAGGCGGCGGCGGCGGAGGCAGCGGGGGCAGCGGGGGCAGCGGAGAAGGCGGCGGCGGCGGCGGCGGCGGCGGACGAGGATGACAGACCGAGGAAGAAGCGGCGCTGGAAGGAGCGTGGCGGGGAGGGCGGCGGCGGCGGCGCGGGCAGCGCCTCGCCCTTTGCGCTCCTCCCGTATGTGGCGTTTGGCGGCCTGCTCCTCGGCCTAGCGCCCGCCCTGCTGATGCGGCTCCGCGCACGCAAGGCGGCGGCGGAGGAGGGCGCGGCAACGGCGGGCGAGGGCGGGCGCGAGTCGGCTCGCATTCGCTCTTTTAGCGACGCGGTGCGGCTCGTCCGCTGCTATCTGCCCGCCGTGAGCTACAAGACAGTCAAGGAGAGCGACGACTCGCCGTCCGACTCGCCGCTGAAGCGGCGCTGCTGCCCGTGCCTCGGCGGCGAGAAGGGCGAGTCGCCTCTCTCCGCTCGAGACTCGCTCTGGGCGGTGCGCCTCCGCCCGCCACTTTCCCACGATGCAATGGCGCTACTCTCCGGCAGAATCTGCCGCCAGCGCTTGCATCGCCACCACAGTCCCTGCAGTCAGTCCTGCTGCGCACTGCGCCGAGCCGTGGGCGGAGTGGCGCAGCTGGACAAGCGCGGGGGGTGCTCAGAGGGCCTCCTTCCCTCCCTCCGCCTTCCCCACCTTCAGGTGCGGGGAGGCGATGGCTTCGCGCCAATGCAGAGCGCGTCGCTCGGCTTTTCGGTCCGGTTTGACGAGGAGGAGGCGCAATCTCACCACTGCCCGCTGCCCGCTGCCACTCGTGTGCACACCTACTCGCAACTGCTAAAGCACACCGCCGCACACCACTGCTCGCCCCCTCGCAGGGCGGCTCCACAAACGGCGAGTCAGCCTCAGTGAACGGCGACTCCGCCAAGGGCTCCACCCTCACCGACGACGACATGCTCTACGACGTCGAGGGCGCCGCCGCCGCCGCCGCCGCAAAGTACGCCGCCCCCATCGCGCCGCTGCCGCAGCTCGAGTCCAAGGCGGCGAGGGAGGCGCCGCGGCTCCCGGCGCCGGCGGCGGGGGCGGCGCAGCTGCCTGGCGTCGTCTCGGTCATGCCCGCCTCGCCCGACAAGGCGAGCCCGCCGGACGACGGCGGCTTCGGCGCCTTTGGCGACGCGGAGTTCGACGAGTTCGGCGGCGAGTGGGGCGGCTTTGACGACGTCGGCACGCTCGCGCCCGCTCCGGAGCAGCTGCCCGCGCAGCTGTCCGGCCGCTCGGAGCCATCGGGCCGGTCCGAGGGGGACGGCGGCGAGGCGGTGGCCAGGCTCGGCCTCGAGTTCGCGGCGGCGGCGCGCGCGCGGGCCGCCTTCGACGCAGCCTTCCGGCGCGACGCGGCCGCCTCGCTGCTGGTGGCCGAGGCGGCAGTGTCGGTGCGGCTCTGCACGGCGCCTGTGCGGCGCGCTGGTGCCCGCCTTCACCTCTTCACAGCCGCGCGACTGTGAACAGGTTGTCTCTGTCGAGGCCGGATCGACCGTCGTCCGCTTCCGCGTGGCGGGCGTGGCCGACGTCGCGGCGGCCCTCGGCGGCGGACGCTTCTCCACCGCCGCGCTGACGCAGTTCAACAGAGGGACGCCGGTGGCTGTCCTGGAGATGCGTGCGGCGGAGCCGGCCGGCGAAGCGGCGAGCGACGCTGCTGCCGGCGCGCCGAGCGCAGCCGACGACTGGGGCGGAGGCGAGTGGGCGGCCGCCGGCGAGTCGGAGTTCAGCGACTTTGGAGACTTTGGCGGCGAGGCGGCGGCCGGCGCCGGGTTTGGTGACTTCTCCGCGCCTGAGCCGGCGGCAGAGCCGCAGCCGCAGTTTCAACGCGCGGCCTCGCCGCCGCCGCCGCCGCCGCTCGCCGAGGGTGCGGGCCACAGCGCCGAGCGTGGCGCTTCGGCCGAGTTTGGCGATTTTGGCGACTTCGACGACTTCGACGGCGGCAGCGGTGGCGCTCAACCCGCGGCGCCCGGGTGGGCCTGCGGCCGCCGGTGAGACGGGGTTGCGCCTCCCCCCTGTAGGAGAGCTGCCCACTGCCGCGGCCGCGGCTGTTGCTGGCGGCGGAGCAGCGTCCGTCCGCACAGAGGCGAGGCTCGAGGACGAGTTCGCCTTCGACGCGGGCTTCGACGGCGAGAGCGGGCTCGACACCGCAGGGGCCGGAGGGGAGGAGGCAGCGGCGGCGGGGGCAGCGAGGGAGGTGGAGGCGCAGGCGGAGGCCGAGGCGGCGCAGAAGGCGGCCGAGGCGGCGCAGAAGGCGGCCGAGGCGGCCGAGGCGGCCGAGGCGGCGGCAGTGGCCGAGGCAGCAGCAGCAGCAGCGAGGGAGGCGGAGGCGGCCGAGGAGGCTGCCAAGGCGGAGGCGGAGGCGAAGGCGAAGGCCCTGCAAGAGGGAGCGGCGGCGAGACGAGCCGCCGCGTTTGCGAGGGCGCAGGCAGAGGCGGCGGCGGCGAAGGCGGCGGCAGCGGAGAAGGCGGCGGCGGAGAAGGCAGAGGCGGAGAGGCTGGCGGCCGAGAAGGCGGCAGCGGAGGAGGCGGCGGCCCAAGATAGTCTGAGTGAGGCGGGTAGTGAGGACGACTTTGCCGCGTTCGACGCGCCGCTGTCGCTGCCCGCCGATCCCACGCCGGCCTCTGCAGCCGACGCTCCCGGCAGCGAGCCGCCCCTCTCCTCCTCGCTGGACGCGTCCTCGACCGCCGCCTCCACGCTCGCCGCGTCCGACCTGTCGGCCTCGGCCCTCACCGCCACCGGCCCCGCCCTCGCCGCATTCGACGACGACGACGACGAGGACGACGACGATTCGCCGCCACTCGCACGCGGAGTCTTTGGCGAGATGATTGCCCGAGATTGCCCGAGATCACCCGAGATCACCCGTGATCACCCGAGATCACCCGAGACACTCGCACGCGGACTCTCTGGTGCGCGAGCGACCCCGCCCCCCACCCCCACCCCAACCCCCATCCCCACATCCCCACCCCACCCACCCTCACCCCCACCCTCAACCCAGCTTGCGCCAGCTGGCACCAGCGCGTGTTACAATTGCGGCAGGCGACCCCCCGAGCTCCTCGACCCTCGACCCGCCCGCCGCGCCGCCCGCCGCGCCGCCCGCTGAGCCGCCCGCTGAGCCGCCCGGCGAGCCGGCGAGCCTCGCCTCCTCCGCCGGCCCTTCCTGGGCCGAGGCTGCGCCTGTGGGGCCTCCCGCGGGCAGCCCAGGCGGGGGCGACGGGGGCGAGGGCGAGGGCGAGGGCGGGGGGGTGGGTGGCGGTGGCGGTGGCGGTAGCGAGGGCGGCGGCGGCGGCGGCGCTGCGCGCAGCAGCCCGGTGCGCGGTGTGGATGCCTTGAGGGGCGGCGAGGAGACGTCTCGCGAGGCGCGCGGCGGCAGAGTGTGCGGGTCTCGGCCAGAGCGCCTCCCGTGAAGCTTCTCGGAACCGTCCTGTAGGAGCTCGCCGCGCTGGAGTGCGACCTGTCGGACGCGTCGTCGGTGTCTCCAACCCCGCGGCCCGCCCCCCCGCTCCGGCTGCCACCTCCCCTGAAGCTTCCCGGATCCCTCCCGCAGGCCGTCAACCTGCAGTCGATCCGATCCCTCTCGGAGATGTCGTCTGCCGTGTCCGTCGGGCCGGCGACCTCCGACTTCACAACCAGTCGAGAGCACACTTCCGACGGCGGGTCGGGATCGACCAACGGCGAGACGCAACCGAGAGGGGGCTGAGAGGGGGCCGAGAGGGGGCCGAACGGTGGCCGAATCAGAGCTCAAGTCTCCGAGATTGGTCGCCGGTATAGCCGTCGCGAGAGCGAGGCACGCCCGCAACATCTTATGCAATCCTGGCATCTACCCCGCCTTGTTTACTGACTATCATTCTTATCCTTATTATTACTATGCGATAGGCATCTACCCCGCGCCCGGCGAGGCGTCGCCCTCAGCCGTGTCGCCCGCTGCCATCGCCCCCGCCCCTTCCGGCAGGGGAGATGGCAGCGGAGGCGAGCCGCCCCGAGGCAGCCCCGAGGGGAGCCCTGAGGGGTCCGACCCGGAGTTTTGAGGGCGCGCCCAGAGGGCGCGAGGAGGCGGCGGCGGCGGGGGGGGGGGGGGGGGAGGCGTCGTTGGGCGCCGGACCTGTGTGGGTTGAGTCTGCAGACGCCGCGAGTGGGGCGGCGACCGCCGTGGGCTGCGCGGGAGCCCCGGGTGCGCCGACCTCTCGCATTGTGCCATGTGGCATGATAGAGAGAGAGTGACGAGGGAGGAGAGAGGCGCGTGACGGTAGAGGTGTGTGATGGATGGCAGAGGGGCCGAAGCGGGAAGACTGCAGCGCGCCCGGCATTGGGGGCCGGCATTGCAAGTCATGAGATTGACGTGTCCCTACCCCCCTCACCGGATACGTGTGCTTTTTAAGATCCACCAAACGATAGCACGTAGTGTCGGCCGTACTCAGCGTGCCCCCACGCGCACGGACGCCCCCGCGAGCAGGACCAACACGCAGGAGCCAGGACACACGTCAGCCGCTCACCGTCTCGACCGCGCCGCGCGCCGGCGGCCTCGATTGACGATTGGCGGAGGGGCTCGAGACCTCCGTCGTTCCGTGACTTACCGTGCCAGCGAGGGGCTCCTGGTGCACCGCCCGTCGGTCGCGTTCTTGTATCTCTTGAGCTCTGTGTACCCAGTATCTTCGACACTTCGATCTTCGTGGAAAGCGAGCGTGATTTTGCGACTGCACGAAGCGTTGTCCGGGGACGTTCCGGATCGTCAATAGAATAAACAATAACACACAAAGCGGCCGTCGTACACAGTACATGTCAAGGGAGGGACGCGCTGTGTTGAGGTGGGTGAAAGTGCCGCGCCGCGGGACGAGGGCGGCACAGGCACACACACACACACACGTACACGCGTCGTACGACGAAGCATTCATGCTACTAGAGGCCTCTCACAAGAGGCTGGTGCATTGCCATTCATGCTACTAGATAGGAGGCTCGTCGGCGCGCACGGCAGGTTGACTGGTGGCCGCACCCGGGCTACGTAACTGGCTCGAGGCGGATCTCAAGGGAGCAGCGCGCGCGCGTCGTGTCCGACGCGTACATGGTGTACCGAGAGGCGGGCCGCGAGCCGACGAAACGTTGAGCAGTGCTGCTCGCGCCGGCTCCCCCGCCCTCTACGAGTCACACGGGATGTTTGTGAAGACCGGATGGTTGTTGTAGCACGATTGCTTGCAGAGGACCAAGTTGTTGGCTGCGCAGATGTCCACAGCCTCCTCGTAGGTGTGTGCCGTGATGTAGGGCGGCCCATCTGATGCTTGGCTGAAGCCCGAGAAGCAGCCCTCGTCGTTGTTTCCGCCAATCCAGCGTCTGCAGCCAGAGCGCTTGTCCTCCTCCCCAGGAACGCAGCACTGCACAGCGATCGTCTGTCTATTCCAAGAGGCGGTCTTGACATCCTCGTCTCCAGGCCTCAAGCATGTGACCAAGCCAGAGTTTGCATTTCCCCTGATGACCTTCACGCCACTCGCCGGGATGCTCATGGCTGAAGGGGAGGGCGGCGGCGAGGGTGGTGGCGGCGCCGGACGGGGCAACTCCACGGACACGGTGAAGCGCGTGGTCTCCGTGTTGCTGAAGTCGCCGCCATCAGCGTACGTGAAGCCCCTCGACACGAGCTTGTAGCTGCCCTGGCCATAGGAGCAGCAGATGCCATCGCCCCAGGAGTCCGTGACGACCAAGTCGTAGGTGCCGTAGGCGAATGTGAATTGGTGTAGGTGGTGCCGGATTCAGTGTAAGATCGGTGGCGGACGTCGACGGGGACGGGTTGATTGACATCGTGCTCGGCAACCACGACCAAGAGAACCAGATCCTGTTGTTTGGCAGCGCGGACGGGAGGACCTTCTCCGAGGTCGCCCTCACCGGAGGGAGCAGGTACACTCGCTCCACCTCGGTGGCGGACGTTGACGGGGACGGCTTCATGGACATCGTGCTCGGCAACTCCTACTACGAAGAGAACCAGGTCCTCTTTGGCAGCGCGGGCGGGAGGACCTTCTCCGAGGTCGCTCTCCCCGGAGGGAGTGCTATGACTCGCTCCACCTCGGTGGCGGACGTCGACGGGGACGGGTTCGTGGACGTCGTGGTCGGCAACAACGGCGCAGAGAATCAGGTCCTCTTTGGAAGCGCGGACGGGAGGAACTTCTCCGAGGTCGCCCTCACCGGAGGGAGCCAGAACACTTTCTCCACCTTGGTGGCGGACGTCGACGGGGACGGGTTCATGGACATCGTGGTCGGCAACTCCGGTGCAGAGAACCAGGTCCTCTTTGGCAGCGCGGACGGGAGGAACTTCTCCGAGGTCGCCCTGCCTGGAGGGCGCATGGACACCTACTCCACCTCTGTGGCGGACGTCGACGGGGACGGGTTTATGGACATCGTACTCGGCAACCGCGACCAAGAGAACCAGGTCCTCTTTGGCAACGCGGACGGGAGGACCTTCTCCGAGGTCGCCCTCACCGGAGGGAGCATGGACACCTACTCCACCTCGGTGGCGGACGTCGACGGGGACGGGTTTATGGACATCGTGGTCGGCAACTCCGGTGCAGAGAACCAGGTCCTCTTTGGGAGCGCGGGCGGGAGGACCTTCTCCGAGGTCGCCCTCACCGGAGGGAGCAGGGGCACTCTCTACACTTCGGTGGCGGACGTCGACGGTGACGGGTTCATGGACATCGTGGTCGGAAACTCTGGCGCAGAGAACCATGTCCTCTTTGGGAGCGCGGACGGGAGGAACTTCTCCGAGGTCGCCCTCACTGGAGGGAGCAGGTGGACGTACTCCACCTCGGTGGCGGACGTCGACGGTGACGGGTTCGTGGACATCGTGGTCGGCAACTCCGGTGCAGAGAACCAAATCCTCTTTGGGCGCGTCTGCTCAAACGGAGGTGCACAGCTCCACGGCAAGAGTTGGTGCTTCAAGTGCCCTTCCTTCATGGGACTCGCGGGCACCTCCTGCGTTGAGTGCCTCCCCGACTTTCTGCAGCAGCCCGGTGTCGGAGAGCTCTGCGCGACAGACCCTTGCCCCCTCGGCGAGCGCCCGCTCGGAAGCGACGAATGCGCCCCTTGCAAAGACAGGCCGGGCGTCTTTTACAACACCAGCGTCGCAGAGACACGGACTGATGGCGACCCTACCACCTGGACCCAGCCCAGCTGCGTCGAGTGCCCCCCGGGCAGCTCTGCTGACGGTGTTGCCATTGACGAGTGCTTTGCTTGCCCTGCGGGTGAGTACCAGAATCTCACCGGCCAGGCGGCGTGCTTTGTTTGCCCCGCTGGTCAGTTCCAGCCAGAGCGTGGACAGACGTCATGCGACTTGTGTGACGCAGGTGGATACTGCGATGATGCGGTAACGTGCGGCGGTGGCTTCACGCCATGCCGAGCGGGAACGTACAACGTTCTCCAGGGCGGAAGCTCATCCGACGACTGTCAGCAGTGCCCCCCCGGAGCCTCTAGCCCGACCACCGGCGCAAACAGCAGCGAGACGTGCGCGAGCTGTCGGGCTGGAACATACGGCGACACCTCCGGTCTGAGTGAGTGCACGGACTGCCCTGCGGGCAGTTACCAGAACGACACGGGCGCGACCTCCTGCCGCGAGTGCGAGCAGGGCCACTACTGCGCCAAGGGCGCGGCGGCGCCGCTGCCGTGCAAGGCGGGCACGTTCTCCACCGCCACGGACCTCTCCGACGCGAGCGAGTGCACCGACGCCTCACCGGGCTACTTCGCCACCACCGGCTCCACCGAGCAGACGCCGTGTCGAGAGGGCAGCTTTGCCAGCGGCACTCGCAACGACGCGTGCGAGCTATGCGCCGAGGGCTACTTCCAGGACCAGCCCGCCACCGCCGTCTGCGTCCGCTGCGCTGCTGGCAAGTTCTGCCCTCAGGGCTCGTCGCGAGAGCTGGACGCGCAGTGCTCACCGGGCACGTACGTCAGGCTGACCGACCAGGACGGCGACCCCGAGTGCCTCGACTGCCCCGCCGGATCGTCGTGCGGCGGCGGGGCGGCGCCGCCCTCCGAGTGCTCGCCGGGCTCTTTCGCCGCCACCACCGGCCTCTCCGAGTGCGCCAGCTGTGCGGGCGGGTCGTACCAGAGCAAGTCGAATGCGACGAGCTGCCGGCCGTGCTTGGAGGGCGGCTACTGCGCCGAGGGCGCGTCGAGGCCGCTGCCGTGCGAGGGCGGTTCCTACTCGAACGCCACGGACCTGTCGGCCGCCTCGCAGTGCACGCCCGCCGATCCGGGCTACATCGCCGCCCGAGGCTCCACCGAGCAGACGGCGTGCGGCGAGGGCAGCTTAGACCCGGTCGCCCCACACCAGCAGCCTATGACACCATAGTTCGGCAAAACTCCACGCGCGAAATGGTGCGCAGCTAGAGAAAGTGGTCCAACTTGGGCAAGGCTCTAGTCGCCGCTGCCCATCGCGGAGCCCGAACCCTCGTCTCAGAGCCGATACTGCGACTCGTCGCTCGGAAGGGGACCGGTCTAGGCCCGAGTAGGTGCTATCAGTGGAGGACATGCGTGCCGTGGTCGCAGAGGTCGCCGCCGAAGTACATCGTGCCGGCTGGGTCAGCTTGGAGCGGGTCCGCCGCGGTGCCGTCAGAGGGAAGGTCAGGGTGTGTGAGCAGGTAGCCAGAGTCGATGATGCAGAGCGGATGCGTCACCGCCGACGGGAAGAAGGAGGCGTTCGGCACCGCTCCGTTGTACACACGCTCGATCCCCCATGGCGTTTCCTCGGCTAGCGGCTGCGTCTGCGTGGCGGAGCTCGGTCCTGGGTAGCGCCGCTGATCCTCCTCGACCCTTAGCCCCGAGCGCTCCGCCTGCTCCTTGAACAATCGCGCCTCGTTGGGGTCCGCGACTTCGACCACTGTGAAGGTGTTGTGGGCTGCTCGGATTGTCATAGCGACGTTTCCGCCCCGAGCAGCCGCCATCTGCGCCACCCGGTTTGAAGCTCGCGCGCCACTCGTGGTCGTCGCCACACTGGTCTCGCCGGTGACGACCAAACGAAGGGTTGTTCGTTCGCGCGCCGGCCTTTCGTGGACGTGGTACACGTAGGCGCCGCCGTGGCGGACGCAAGCAGGGCAAGAAAGAGGAGAAAGGAGAAAGGAGCAGCTCGGGAACTAGGCATCTTGCTATTCTCGGCAGTTGCGCGCGGTGTGTTGGCGCAAACGGTGTGTTGGCGCGCAGAAAGCGAACCCGCGTGAGCCGTGACACAATCGAGGGAAGAAACTCATGTGAGGCATAGGAGTCACGCGGGACAGGAAAGTAAAGGCGTCGGGTGCTCGCTTTCTGTGAACTCCTGCGAAAGAAGAATGGAGGCTTGAAAAAAATAGGAGAGAAATGTGTTCGTCATGGGACCAAAAGATATTACCTACGTGAGTTTACAACTACCTGTTCGTGTGTAAAGAGTAAAGCCCGATGCACGACCACGCGTCTCATCCTCCCGCCGCCCTCGGCCCGATGACGTCATCGAGAAGCTCGTAGAAGACGTCGAAACCACGGTGCGGGACGCCGGCCTGCCGCACGCGCCTGCCGAGCCGCGGGTCGAGCCGCACATTGAGCGTGTACAGCGCCGGCGCGAAGCCCTCTCGCCGCGCCTGCTGCAGGAGGGTGAGGTCGTCTTCGCGCGGCGCGCCGACGCCGCACGAGACGAGGAGCACGCGGCCGGCGGCGGGCGGCAAGCCGAGCGGGCTCGCGCCGTCAACGTCCAGCAAGTGCGGCTCGAGCTCGCCGAGCAGCGCCTGCAGCTCGCCGGCGCTCTGTGCTCTCAGCGCCACCGCCACTGGCTGCTGCGCCGCAGCCTGCCCCGCGGCTGACGACGCGGCGCCGCCGTCGGTGTCGTCGACGAGGCGGGCCGGCATGCTCCCCTCCGCCCTCCCCTTCCCCCCCCCCTGCTCCTCGCCGCCGAGCGGCTCGGCGGAGTCCAGCAGCTGCAGCACCGACGTGCGGTACTCGGCGAGCGAGCGAGCTTCCGGCCGAGGGACCTACTCCTCCCGCCCGTCGGTGGTCAACTGCTTGACGAGGCACTCGGCGTGCCTCCCGCACACGAACCACGCTGAGCAGCTCTCCCACCTCGAACGAGCCGCCCCCCCGCCGGTCGTCCCACGCCACGCTCGCCACCACCGGCTCGCCGCACGCCCCCTCCTCCACGGAACGGAGCCGCCCCTCGCCACGCCCGTCGGCCTGGCCGGCGTCTCGGCTTTTGCCCTCGCCGCAAGCAGCACCCTCCCCCCGCCCCGCCGCCGCCTGCCCCGCCGCCGCCTGCTCTGCGGCCGGCGGGGCGGCGGCGGCGGCGGCGAAAGCAGCGACGGGTGGTGCGGCCAAGCTGCGCACGCGGCCGGTGGAGCCGCCGACGACGAACCAATCGGATCGGCGGAGAGTGCCTGCTCGCACCACGAGTAGGAGGCAAGTGCCGTGGTCTCTCCGCTGCATCACCTCGACGACCAGGGCAACGCACGAAGGCGGAGGGCCGAACGAGGCGGCGGAGGAGCCGGCAGGAGCGGTGAGCGACAGAGCGGCGGAGGCGGAGGAGGCGGTAGTGACAGCCGCCTCGGGCGCGGTCGCGTGCGGAAGCGGGCAGGCAGAACGCCCCCCTCTCCCCCCCTCCCGCACCAGCCGGGCGAGGAGCGGCTCCAGGCCCCAGCCTCGGGTGGCGCAGACCAGAGAGACCGCGCCGCCGCCGCCGCTTGTGCTGTCACCACCACCACCACCACCACCACCACCACCACCACCACCGCTGCTGCTGCTGCTGCTGCTGCTGCTGCTGCCCTCGCCGACGCGCCCGCCCGCCGCCGCCGCCTCCACCCCCGCCGCCTCCGCCTCGACGGCCCACGCCTGCTCAAGCCGCGCCGCCGCCGCCTGCACCCGCTCGCAGCCGCGCGCCTCGTCGAGTGCAGCCGCGGTGCCGTCCCGCGCGAGGTCGAGCTTGGTGAGGGCGAGCACGGTCGGGATGCCGAGCCGCGCGCAGTGGCGCATCGCCTCGCGTGTCTGCGGCTGGACGCCTGCAAGAGCACACGGCGGCGGTGGCGGTGCGCGCTTTGGACCCGGCGGGCCCACGGGTGAGCAGCGGGAGGAAGCGACGCCTTCGTCGAGCGAAGCGAGGACGAGCGCGACGTCTGCACATCCGGACGCTGCGGCGCGCATGCCGCCGAACGCCTCGTGGCCGGGAGTGTCGAGCAGCGCGAGCGACACGGAGGCTCCGCCATACACAGAGGCTCCGCCCGGCGCGTCACTAGAGGCGCCGCCGCAAACCGTGAGTGGAACGTCGAGGATCGAGGGGCGGACGGACTGCGTGATGGAGCCGGGCTCAAAGTCTGCGCTGCGTGTGCCCAGCAGCGCGTCTAGCAGCGTCGTCTTGCCGTGGTTGACATGCGCCAGCACCGCGACGACGGCAGTGCTGCGGCCACCCGACTGAGCGCCTTCTGCAGCGGCCGCGGTAGCCGCGCTCGCAGCGTCCGCGTCCGGATCAGTCAACTGCCAAGTGGCGTTCCTCTCGGCGGCGAGGGCGCACGCTGCGGCTGCAGGAATGAGGCAGCCGCCGAGCGATCGAGCACAGTAGAGCCCGACGGGAAGGCCCAGCTGCTGCGCGTGCTCGGGCGCTACGCGAAGCTCGTACCTCTTGCGCCGTCGCGTCCAGCCGGCGGCACGCACGGCGGCTGCTGGGTCCATGCCGAGCGCGCGGGCGAGCTCACGAGGGGCGTTCAGCGGTCGCAGTCGGAGGCGTCCTGACATGACGTTGGGGTCCTCCGCACTCTACACTCCGCACACACTACAACTGTACTGTTGCTTTTGGAAAGAGCGAGCGACAGCGAGCCGCCCCCCCCTCGCAACCATCACCCAAACGTGCTTTTTGTTGGGCTCACACACACATGATGAACAAAACACTCTACTGACTGACTGAAGCTCGGGACAAAAACATATTGAACAAAGACACACCAGGGCCGCACGGCGCGAGCGAGGGACTAAGGCGCACTGACACTAATGAACAAAGAAAAGGCACAAAGGGTGAGTGTGTGTGTGACAGAGCGAGCGGAGGGTGTTGCAGCACCCTCCGCTCGCGGAGAACGTTGCGGGCGCCGGTGATGGCCTGCTTGCGGCGCTCCGCCTCCTCTCGAACCGCCGGGCTCGCGGTCTCACGCCGCATTGCCGAGCGCACCTTCATGGCCCGGCGGAGCAGGGTCACCACGTGCGCGTCCAACTCCTCAACCGTTGCCGGCATCAGTGTGAGCTCGAGCGTGGCAAGCGCCTCGTCCCTCGCGGTGTTGCTCTCGCCCTCCGCTTCGGTCGCCTCAGTGCTCTGGCTCGAGGACGGGGTGTCGGTACCGACGGGCGCAACGTCAAGAGATGACATTGTCGGCTTGACAAAGAGCCCCAGCACCTCCTTCTTTGAGGTCATCTCGAGGTCCGGAAGGAACACCATGAAGTCCTTGGCGCGCGTCTTGGCCACGTACTCGACGCGCGCGCTCTGTGCCGGCGACGGCGACAAGAAGCGGAAGCGGCCGAAGCCCTCGGCCTCGCCGACTCCGACCCCGGGGCCGTGGTCGGCAGATCCGGCCAACGACGACTTTGAGACCGTGACCCTGTCGTGCACCATCACGCCGTTAGCGCAGTATGGAGGCATCCCTGTGACCGATGCTGCGCTGGGTTAAGGCTCCTAGCCGGATAGGGGGTCTGTCGTGTTGGACCTATGCAATAGGTAGGTAGGTCCGGTTTGGACCGCCCCAGAGGGCCCCGCAATAGGTAGGTGGTGGTGGTGGTGGTGGTGGGGGTGGGGGTGGGGGTGTGGGGGTGTGGGGGTAAAAACCCGAAGAGAGGAGAGCGAAAACCGCTTCGCTCGCGCGGGCGGGAGACGGCGCGTTTAGCCGCGAGCGGGGCCATGCCAGACGAGTCGCCTGCGGTTGGGACGCCAGCCGAGACGGGTGCGGCGGGCGCTGGGAGCCTATTCACAGAGAGAGGGCTCAACGGGTATTTTTCGCTTCGTTCGCTGCGCGGCCTGGGAATAGGTAGGTAGTGGGGCACGGAGCCTGGCGGTTGGCGCCCGCAATAGGTAGGTAGGTAGGGCGTTTTGGCGCGAGTCAGTGGGGACAGACCCCCTATCCGGCTAGGAGCCGGAACCCTGTTCTGTCGGTGTTCGACGAGGATATTTTTTGAGCTAGCCTTCGATGTTATTATGAAACAAACGCAAGGCGGACATACGCACATCACTGCTCTCGGGCCCACAGACATCCCGCACACCCGCCGCCCCCGCGCGCGCCCCACCCCGGCCGGGAGAAAGGGGAGTGACCGATTGGGAAGGAAAGTCGAGTACCTCGCACTCCATGTGCGAGAACGCAGAGAGAAATGAAAGCCGTCCGGCCCCCAAGTCCGGCTCACGCTCACACAATTCAAAACCACCTCACTTTCCCGCACAGAAAAGAAATCGCCGGGACGCCAAACGGTCTTCATATATATATGTGTATAGTATATGCCCGCTCCGCGCTCCCGCGCCTCCGCTGCGCTCCGCACGCCTCCGCCGCCTGCTGGCAGCGCGCCGGGTGGCGAAGTCCCGAAGAACGTCCTGAAGGCGGCTACGGACGGCCGCGAGGGACCGGTGCGACAGTGGCTGAATGACGGCGGGAAGGCGGACACTCTCGCTGAGTTACCCTCTGAGGTCGGCGGCCGTCCGGTTCCAAGCACCCTGCTGATGCTCGCCGCACAGAACGGGCACGTGCAGATTGTCGAGCTCCTCCTGAAGCGTGGCGCACACATCAACCTGCAGAACAGTCTCGGCCTCACAGCGCTCAACGCTGCCGCCTACTACGGCCGCGAGCGAATGGTGGAGATGCTGCTGCAGCACGGTGCGGACATCGGGACGGCGTTGGCATCATCCGCCCAGGGCGGCCAAGAGCGGGTGGTCGACCTGCTGCTGCGGCGCGGCGCGGAGATCGACCTGCAAGACAAGAACGGTGACACCGCGCTGATCTTCGCCGCAGCGCACAACCGCCCCGCCGTCGTGCTCCGCCTTCTGCGGGCGGGCGCAGACATGACGTTGCGCGACGTGAACGGCTTTTCGGCGCTGCAGTGGGCCAAGGAGACGGGCCACGCCGAGTGCGTCCAGGCCTTCAGGACGTATCTCGGGGAGGTGGCGGCGAGCCGGAAAAAGGCGCCGTCGGCCGAGGCAGGCGGCGCAGGCGCGGCGGTGGGTGCGAGTGCCGCGGCCTCTGCTTTGAGCGGCGAGGGCGGCGCGGGGGCGGCGCTGAGCAGCAGCGGGGTGGTGCCAGAGGAGGTCGTGCTAGCGACTGAGCGAGGCGAGGAGGCGGCGCTGGCGTGGCTCGACGGCGGCGGGCCGGTCGACGCGATGTTTGAGTACGTCTTTTCGAACAGCACTGTGAGCGGCATGACGCTGCTTGTGGTCGCAATGGTGAACGGCCACGAGGGGCTGGCCGAGGCGCTGCTCCAGCGCGGCGCGGATGTCTCTTTGCATATCAGCAACGGCGACACCGCGCTGAGTCTCGCCGCCGCGAATGGCTTCGAGAAGGTGGTCGAGTTGGCGTTGCGGCACGGCGCGGAGATCAACGAGCAAACTACTCTCGAAAGCACCGCCCTAATGGCCGCCGCCGCAAACGGCCACGAGAAAGTGGTCGACTCGCTGATCCGGCTCGGCGCGGCGATCGACCTGCAAGACATCGGCGGCGACACCGCACTGATTGGTGCCGCTTTCTATGGCCACCCCGCCGTCCTTCTCCGCTTGCTGCGGGCGGGCGCAGACGTGACGCTGTACAGTGCAGATGGCAAGACCGCGCTGCAGTTTGCCAAGGAGAAGGGCCACGCCGAGTGCGTGCGCGCCCTCAAGGAGCATGCGGCGGCCGAGAAGGCGGCGGAGAAGGCGGCGGCGGAGGCGGCGTGGGCCGCGGGAGCGGCGGAGAGGGCGGCGCAGAGGGCGGCGGAGGAGAAGGAGGCGGCGCGGCACGCCGAGGAGCTGCTGGCGGAGGTCGAGGCGGAGACGCGCGCCAAGGGCAAGAAGGGCAAGAAGAAGAAGAAGAAGAAGGGCGGCGGGGCGGGGCCGTCGCAAGAGCCCGAGGCGCCGTCGGAGGCAGACGCAGCCGAGGCGGCGAAGAAGGCCGAGGAGGCGAGGCTCCTCCTGCTTCTCGAGACGCTCACCGAGGAGAGGATCCGGTTCGGCATCACGCCGGAGACGTCGGTCGAGGGTTTGGCGGAGGCGCTGGGAGAGGCGGCAGAGGCGGCGGACGAGGCGAGCGAGGAGGAGACAGCGGAGGGGCAGTCTGCGGCGGCGCGCGAGGAGGCCGAGGCGGCCGAGGCCGCGCGTTGGAGTGCGGCGGCGGAGGCGGCGGAGGAGGCCGCGGCGGAGGAAGAGGCTGCGTTGGCGGCGGAGGAGGCGGCGATGGAGGCCGCAATCGCCGCCGCCAAGGCGAGGCGCGCGTCGGTGGCGACGGCGAGGGCCAAGGCAGCGGCAGCCAAGATGGCGGCGGAGGCGGCCCAGCGCTCATAGAGAGCTGCTTGGGAGCACTGCACGCATGGTTCGAACATGGGGGCGCGTTTCGCAGTTTCGATTGGAGGCTTCCGCAGCCAATCTCGTCAGCGCTGTGTGGAGCTCCGGGGCGGGAGCCTTTGGTCGGATTTGGTCGGATTTGGGCCACGGCGATGAGCAGGACCAGCTGCTGCCCAAGCGCAAGGTCGAGGGTGGGACGTGGTGGGGGTCGGGGCAGGGAGGAACGGGAAGCCGTGAGTACACGAGTCTCGGAAAGTCTTTCTGCCGCATTTGGCCTGTTTTTTTCTGCAAATAGTACAATGTAAACTCTCTCTCTCCCGCACACACACACATATACTCACTCTATATGTGTTAGATCTAATACTGACTCGCTCTCAGTCTCTGACTGAGTGACTGTATATCTGCAAATATAAGTATACGGTAAACTCTTCTCCCCCACACAATATACAGTACCGCTCTCAGCTCAAAAGAGTCAAGAGAGATGAGAGTCAAGTCCCACAACTCTCGCTCTACTCTCTGGGGTTTTTGACGAGGTGAGCACTCAAGCCAAAACACACATACACAAGTCACAACACACCTCCGTGTACTGCTTTGCACATACCGACGACACGCTTTTTGCTCTTCTCTCACTTTGCTCACGTAAGCTCCTCGGGAAAGACGTGCACCGTCCCGCGGAGGCCGCGGCACGCATGCGCCGAGGCAGCCGGGCGCTCCGTGGGTTCCCCCATGACCTGACGCCGGAATGCCTGGATGCGATGCCAGGACGCATTCTCATAGGCGTGACGCTGGCCTCGGATGCGGGAGACCTCCTCGCTGAGCGCGTCCTCCACGTCATACTCGCGCCGCTCCAGCGCGCGCCACTCCCTCCAGCGCTTGGTAAAGGCCTTCTCGTCCCTCAGGCTGCTGAGCGCTGCCCTCGCCTGTTGGCGTGCGGCGGCGGCGCGAGACTTCGACGCGGCCCGCCGCTGCCGCAGCCATGCCTCCTCGCTCTCCCGGTACTGCTCGAGCCGCCGCTCCCCGCTGTTGTCCAGTTCACGGCGTTGGAACCCGTGATCTGTTGGTTGCATGTGCTTGACGAGCACGGGACCGCAGCGAGGCTCCACCCCCACTGCGCCGTCCGCGTGCATAACCGCCATCAGAGCGCCGCCCCACAGCACCCTCTCCACCGGCTGGGGGCTGCCAGCCTCCCGGCAGCGGAGCCCGAGGCGGAGCGACCGAACCGGGCCAACCCATGGTGAGGGTGCTGGGATTGGCGCCGCCCCTTGCCGCATTGAAGCGGCCGCCGCGCGATCGCGCCGCTCGCGATCGGTCAGCCTTGTGAGGAAGGCGTGGGCCTCCAGCACGCTGCGCGGCATATGCAAGTTCGCACACACATGCAATGCCTGTGCAAATGCGTGACGTGAGAGCGTTGGCGAAACCGTCATATTCGCTGCTGACCTTCACATAAACCTTCGCCGACCGCGAAACCAGTGTGAACAGGCCAGCGCATAGCGCCAGAGGAGGTATTTTCTTCTCAATAACAAGGCTGTGAAGTAGGGCCCAAGGGGCGCCTGTTGATAGGTCCAGGTGATCGCCTTGGATGAGCAATGCATACGCCTAGTTGGACCTCAGATCGCCCGACCGACCGTCCGTCCGTGTTCCGGTGCCCCGATTTTTTTCTTCGATTCTTTCCTCCCGCCCCCCCTGCCAAAGAGCCTCGCTGTCCGCCTCCCACTTCCTGGCCTGCCGCTCGAGGGCGCGCCTGCCGTCGTCCCGCTGGGCCTTTTGATACATGTGTGTGTCGGGCTGCTGCAGGTTCTCGGCAGTTGGCGTGGGAGATCAAAGAATTGGAGGGGCCAGTGATACGCACCCCTCACTCGAGCATGGGCCTAACCAGGGCTCACATCCAGTACGTGGGCCGAGACATCCAACACAACGAGCCGGGATGCGGTGTGTGTGTGTGTGTGGGGGGGGGAGCTTCTGCGGCGTGACATGGCACATGCCGTGGAGAGGAGAAAGAACTGGCCTCATGGGCTCGGCAGCTTGTCAGCCTTCAGCCGAAGCTAACGTGAGAGAGTTTTAGCAATACGAACAAAACCAGTGGCACAAGCCTCGCAGAGGGCTCGGGCTCCGAGTGTCGTGAAGGTTCGTGCCACCTCCGGTGGCTCTACTGTTAGACCGCAGGCAGCGGGCTGGAGCGCGATTTATTCATGAACATGAGCGCAGGCGAGATCTGTACGTTAACACAACAGGTTTCGTGGTTCGCGTAATGAACACACATCGACGTCGGAGGCAAAATGAACATCACTCAAAGTTTCACGTGAGGGGGGGGGGCGACCACAGCGCAGCTGGCAAGCTAAAACAGTGCAGTCGGCGTGTTCGCCCTCGCAACCACGTCAGTTTGGCTGGCTAGTCCGCCCACGGCCACTGGCATTGCGGCCGCCGCAGCGGCCCACTGCGGCTCACCTCAATCATTGGCGGTGTCCAAGTCCGATCTGGGTAAATCTCCGCCGTCGGTAGGTAGAATCGCGCCGTCAGCGTGAGATTTGTACCATGCACGTCCTCCGGCACGTACAGCCAATTTTTGCCCTCTCCCGGGTCGCTTGCTTGGATGTAGATCACAGCATTACCATTTTTCTCGATGACAATGTCGTTCTGGAGGCTGCTAACGACAGCCGCTTGAGTCCCGTTTCGGGGATCCGCAACAAGGTACTGGTCCACGTACGTGGTGATGGACCAGAAGCCGCGCGCCGAATCGACGGGCGGTGGTGGCGAGAGGGTCAGGGTGTAGTTGCATCCCCCAAACAGAAACGGCTTGACAAAGTACACGGCATCCTCCGGAAGATTCGCTCCAAGGCCGACATCGGCAATCACAGCCCGGACCGGGTAATCCGTGCCGTAAGTTCCGACCGAGCCCGAGATGCCGAGCCAGCTCCTGGGCCTAGGGATAGGCCACCGCAAAAGGCGATACTCTTCAGTCCATTCGGTCAGATTGAGCGCTTGGCATTGTAGCAGTGTTCCAGCCTTCTCCGCCCCTGCCATGAGAGTAGCTTCAGAGCTCTCCTCCACGACTGGCCAAACGTCCGCCATGAATGGCGCGTCGTCTGCTGTCGGTTTGTTGTCCACCATGAGTTGAGTAGCATTACCGAAAAACTCAAGCGCGCTCATGGAGTTAACAATGTCCCGAGCAGAGAGCGAGCTGTCTGCGCTTGAGTCCCACGCAGGGTTGGGATCGTCACTTGACAGGCCACGCAGCTGGTACTGCAACTGCAACGCGTTAGTAGACACGAGGTCGCCGCCCTCAAGCGGCGCAGTCCTCCCCAGCAGCCACAGGTTCGTCGTGTTTGACACGATGGTGATGTTCATGTTGTCATCGGGGCACGGTGTGTAGTCGTCACTGACGAGGTGCGGGGCAAGGCTGATGCAGACGACTTGCTCTTTGTACAACAATTCAGGGTTGCCGATCACGTTCGTCCAGAAGTCCATGATCTGGAAGAGGCCGTACCGGCTGCGATGGTCCGCCTTGGGGATGGTTAGCACGACAGGCTCTTGGCCGACGTCCAGAAAGGCCGAGGAGTAGAGAGTGTCGACGTTCGGGTTGACGACGCCTCGGAAGTCGGGCGTGGGGAACTTGAGGACATGCGCGAACGTGTTGACGAACGTGTCTCGCGTAACATTGAGGTAGTTGTCTTGGACCATGCGGAGGGAGACGTCGAGAGTTGCGCCCATCAGCACGAGGGGCAGCGCAAACTCGTACGATCGAGCAACCTTGAGCTCATCGGACCCGGTCAGGTTGGCGACCGTCGGGCAGAATTCGAGACGGGTAGTGCGGTTGGCTGGCATCGGGAGGCCAACAGCCCCAGCGATGAGCGTCAGCATTCTGGCTTGCGGAAGAGGACCAGCTCAAAAGTGAGAGCCGACGAGCAGCGTTCGGATCTCAGTTTGTTCAGGAGGGGACTTGAATAGATCTAAAACATCCCCTCTGCGGGCCTGATGCCGGGGTGAGAAGACACAGAAAACTATGAATCTGAGACCGATACGTCGCAGTTCTCTTGTTTCGGCGGTTAGTGGTCACGAACCGAACACCGTTCGCAGCCTCGTCGCAAACAGTCCACCCTCGCATCAGAGCTCACACGAAATCCGCTTTCTCTTTTACAAGGACGCCCGAGAAAAGTGGTCTCCGACAAAGTGGTCGCACTAACTAGGAGCTGCAGACAACGATCCCATGCTGGCCTTTCTCTCGTCCGTGTCGATGCCGTCCACCGTACGCACCACACCGCCCAACCTTGTCCTGGTCATGCTTGACGACCTCGGCTGGGCTGGCGCGCAGCATAGCCGCTCTTGCCCATTCTCTCCCACGCTCTCACCGGCGCTGGCCTTGCCTGCCCACAGACGTCGGATTCCACGGCTCCAACTTTCCCACGCCCGCCATGGACGAGCTTGTCAACGGCGGGCTCGAGCTCAAACGGCTTTACGTTAACCCCACATGCAGCCCAACCCGAAGCGCTGCGCTCACTGGTCGGCATCCGTTCAACATGGGCATGCAGCACTGGACCACCACCTTTCCGGGCTCGACTGCTGCTCTCCCGCTGGACGTCCCAACCCTCGCCGAAGAGCTGAAGGCCAAGGCTGGATATCGAACAGAGGTGAGTAGCCGTCAATACACACTCACGGCCGGATATCTTCTGACACGTCCGTGCGACTGTGCCCTCTCCAGATGGTTGGCAAGTGGCAGTGCGTCGCGCCATTGTCAACTGACACGTCCATCGAGCTAACGTACTAAGCTTAGTTCTCTCATACGTGTAGCCTCGGCGCGGCAAAAGAGAGCAACCTGCCGCACCGTCGCGGCTTCGACAACTTCTACGGCATCCTGCAGGGCGCAACCGATCTGTACGAGCGTACGCTGGGCTTTTGCATCAATGAGGCGTTCGGCGTCGCGAACGGGACGTGCTTGCCGTGGGCCACCGCTAGCGGCAAGTCTCCTCTCGAGTCTGAGTTGGACGACAACGTGTTCTACGACTTTTGGGAGAATTCTCGTCCGGTCTGGGAGGATAAGGGAACCTACGTCATGGTACGCGGCTCCACTCCCCGAGCTCCCCCGCCCGCCGCTTCAGCAATACCGGGTACCAAACGCCCCGACGCCGAATTTATCGTCCACTCGCTTGCCGCGCCTGGCAGGACTCGTACATTGAGCGGGTCGAGCGCATCATTGACCAGGCTGGATCGACAGAGTCCAATCCTACCGCGGAACCCCTGTTCCTCTACTTCGCAGAGCAGGCCGTGCACGCTCCCCTACAGGCTCCGCCGCAACCAGAGCACCTGCAGGCTTGCGTTGACGCCGGAGTCACAGGCAGCAGCTCGGCAGGGAACCGCGACATGAGCAACCGCACGGTGTTGTGCTCGATGGCAAACAAGGTCGATCATTCCATCGGCCGCCTCGTGGAAGCGCTCAAGAAGAATGGCATGTGGGACAACACGCTCGTTTGGGTGCTTACCGACAACGGGGGCATGGTTGACTGGGGTGGCGAGCTACTGGGCTGGTACGCCACCACCTCCTCCTCCAACTGGCCGCTGCGGGGGATGAAGACGACTCTGTTCGACGGCGGTGTTCGCGCAGTCAGCTTCATGACAGGGGGTTACCTTCCACAGTCGGCGCGTGGGCAGACGAGTTCAGAACTGTTGCATGCGGTCGACATCACACCCACGCTTCTCGCCCTCGCCGGCGTGTCCGAGGCTGACTCCCCGCCCATGGATGGGCTCGATGCATGGGGCGCTGTCACCACAGGCGGCACCACAGGCCGCGATGAGATCCCCATCAACATCGATGTCGGCAGCAAATTCGGCGATGCCATTGAAGACTTTCCCGCCAACATGCTCATCCCAATGCTTGTCCCCAACTGGGCTCCAAACCCCCGCCTGGGCGTCCGTGGCGGGGCAAACTTTAGCGCGCTCATATCTTGGCCATACAAGATCATCGTCGGGCTGCCCTCGAATGCAATTCCGGCGGACAAGTGGGGGTGGTGGTCCATCGAAAATTACAGCATGGTGAAGGGCCCTCCGGCCCGTGAGCATCCGCGCGCTCCCGTGCGCCTTTACAACCTCGAAGCGGACGAGGGTGAGCACAATGATCTCTCGGCAGCCCTTCCAGAGGTGGTCGAGCGGCTCATGCAGCGGGTTGCGTTCTACGCCAACCCAGACAACGGCTTTCGCCGCCCGCAGAACAACATCCCACGCCTCAGGGCAAACCCAATGAAGCAGAACTGGACCATCGGACCCTTCCTGTGAGACGGTGTTGATTAACGGGTGTGAGACCAACAGTGTTGATTAACGGAGGAGGATGGCTGGCTGGCTCTCTACCCTTTCCGGTGGGACGGTGTTGATTAACGGGTTGTGATACCAACGGTGTGTTGTCTGTTGATTAATGGAGGAGCAGGAGGATGGCTGGCTCTCCATGACTAGATAGCTGCTGCGCGTGGGAGAGAGGCGGAAGCGTGATGTTTTCTTGAGACTGTGTTAGTGCCAGCACGCGCCAGCCTGCACCCTCCCGTGTCGTGCCTGTCTGCTGCCGTGTGGGAGAGTTTTTTGTCTGATTTCTTGCTCTTGCTGCAGTTGTTTTTTTCGGCATTTCGCTTGGCGCTTGCGCGCGCCCGCGCGCACACGCCGCGCTCTGAGACGTGAGAGGTGAGAGGGACTTGCTACATATGCTCTCTCGCCTACAGTGCTACACGGCCGTGTTTAGGCGGACAAAGCTCAAAGCTCAAATGACGGATTTTAAATATATTAATAATTGGTGTGCGAGCGTTTTGTTGTCAATACGCGAACTCCAAAAGTACCGCACCCACGATACGGCACGATTAGAATATGAGGAGGGCAGATCCGCCCGCCTCGCACTCCGGACGCCGGCAGGCGGAGTCGCCCCCGTTTGTGCTCTGCGGCACGCGGCCGTGCTCCCGGCCGCTGGCTCGCCACCCGGAGCGAGGCGGCCCCGGCGCACACCCGGCGGTCAGCTGACGGGCGGCGGCGCGCGGAGGCTGGTGCCGGAAGGGTGCTCCGGCGGCGCCGTCAGCGGCGAGGCAGTCAGTCTCGAGGAAGGGGCGCGGCGGGAGGGTGGCGGCCTCGACGGTCTTGTATAAATAAAGAAAACGGGCACGCCAAACGAGGGGTGGGAGAAGGACAGGGTCCCACCTGCACGAGCAGGAAAGCTGAGGGCCAGCCTCGTAGAATTCTTGCACATCCGTTATTACTCGGAAACCACCACATGAAGATCTTCGGGCTCCTCGTGTTGCTCGCGCCGACCGGCGAGGCGCTCGCGTCGCCCGGCGCGGCGCTGCGGCTGCGCACACCGCTGCGCACCGCTCCGGCCACCATGCAGATCTTCGGCAAGAAGAAGGAGAAAATTCCCACGCTGGAGGAGCGCGGCTACTGGGCGGGCGAGTGGGTGTGTGCAGACTGCGGGTACATCTACGAGCCGGATCCGAAGGATCCGTTCGAGGAGCTGCCGCCCTACTGGAAATGCCCTCAGTGCGCCGGGCCGCGCCGTCGCTTCATCAAGAAGGCGGGAGACGTCCTCGGAAAGCTCGACGACACGTGCGCCGCCTCTCGCCCACCCTCCACAGCGGCGCCCGCGCCGCCGCCGCCGCCCGCGTCGCCGCCGCCGCCCGCCCGCCGGAGCAGCACGCCGCCGGAGCGGCGACGCGACTGCCACCGCCCGCCGGCCCCACCAGCCATGGCACTCCGCACCGCTCGCTTGGCCGCATTCCACCCGAGCCTCCTGCCCTCGCCAGGCCGATGACGGCCTTCATCGGCGTCTGCTTCGCCGCGATCGCCTACCTTATCTACGTCGCGATCTCCACCTAGTTTTCACGCGAGAGACTCGAGGGTGCGAGGCAGAGCCGCGCCTGCCGCCCGGCCTGAGAAGGGGTCGGGGCGGCGAGGCCGGGGGAGGGCCACTCCCTCTTCTTCCGCAGAATCCTCCGCTGCTTGGCGCCGTACGGATGCTGCGCTTTGCAGGCGCCCCTGTGCCTCCCGTAGGATGCCCTTGACTCCTCTTCGTGCGATTGTCTCCCCTCTGTCTCTGTCTTTTTCCGTCCTTCTCGCTGCTCTCTCGAGTCTCGTCTCTGGCGTCTGGGGTGTGGGGAGAACGCCCTTCGAGTTTCGTTTCTGCGTAATCACCCTGTGCACATTTTGCGAAAAAAATGGAGCTGGGACCGTGATTGATAATACGTCACAGTGTCGACACCATTTGTGATTGGTGTTTAGAGAGACGCGGGGCTGGGACACGGCGGGTGTGCGGCCCGCTGCGCGGCGGTGCCGGTGCCGAGAGGGGGGGGGGGGGGGGGGGCGAAGGAAGCCAAGGCGAAGACGGCGTGAGGGACGGGTCGTGGTTCCCTTTCACCACTGCCTCTCTCAGATCTCAGTAGAGCTTTGTCCCGGACGACTGCGTCCCGAGGCCGGGGGCGGAGGCGAGCCGCGTCGGAGGCTGTACCTGGGAGAAGAGAAGAAGAGAAGAGGGGAGGGGGTTACCCGAGGGCCGCGCGCGATGAGGAGCGCAGCGGGGGGATGTGCATGTGTGTGCAGACGCGAGGAGACGCGCGGGGGGACTGTTGACGCGGGGGGGGGACTCTCCTGCCCCCACTTCTTTGCCGGCGGCACCGCCTTGCCCTCCTTCGAGTCCTTCCGGACCTGGGGTGGGAGAGGTTGGGGGCTGCAGGGGACCGTGCAGGGCGGCGGGCGGGGCGGTGGCAGCCGAAGCCGCCCCGGCGCGTGGCGAGGAGAAGAGAAGAGGAAGGGCTAGAAGAAGCGGGGGCGGTGGCAACCGGCACGGTGTGCGTGTGTGCGGCAAGGGGTTTGCAGGCGCGAGGGCGCGCGATAGTGTCCAACCGCTCTCTTCAGCGTGGTGCGCACGACAGACACCCGCCCCGCGCCTCTCCCGCTCTCGTGCCGCGCGCGCCTGTGCGATGTAGTCGCGCGGCGACGGAGGGGCTTTGGACGCGTCGAGCTGTGTGTATGCGCGCGACTTTGTTGGCGCCCCCGCGCCGCCGCCGCTCTGGCTCTGGGCGATGACGAGGAGGAGGAGGAGGAGGAGGAGGGCGAGGGACAGGTATATCGTGCGGCAGGGCAGGCCTAGTCGCGAGACCGGAAGAGACCGGCGTTAAGGCTCTCCGCAGCGTCACGGACGCGTCCCGACTAACACAGGCCACGCACCGGAGGTCATCAGCGGTGCCTCGAGGCCGGGCAGCAGGGAGCACGGCTCGCCTGTGCGCGGGCGGAGCTGTCAGGACAGCTGTGTCGCCTCCTGGGTACGTCGCTGCCTCCACGATCGCCGACCCTATCATCTTTTGCGCCGAACGGACACCCGCCCTACGCGCTATCTATGCGGCGCGGCGCGCACAGAGGGTGCCGTTGACAAGCGAGCCGTTGCCGTCGTAGACGCCCTCGCCCCACAGCGAGCCCTGCGTCGTGTTCGGGAGCAGCACGCAGGTGCTATTGGCCTCCGTGAGCTTGGCAAACTCGCCGTACTCAGCCGGCACTTCCGTCGGAACCCAGTACTCGAGCCAGGCGGGGCGGGGCTCGGCGACAGCCGCGGCCTCCTCCTCGTCAGAAACAACGTCGGGCGAATACGCTGCGCACACGCTGAGGACGAGGAAGGAGGCGACGCGCATCGGGCCGCTGGGATTGCACAACGAGGCGCTCTGAGCCAGTGTTCACAGCCTCTGTCTCTCGAGTTCTCGAGGTTGATATCCTTTGGCCGCGTTGGGTAGCGAGGATTGGTGTGACGCGATCCACGCAGGCATGTTTTCTGACGGCCGACCGTCAGTGCACGGAGTTGCCCCTTCTCCGACTGCCCCGGCTAGTTCCTGAGGTCGCGCGGGGCTGACCCCTGCCCGTCCCCCGAGACCTAGCGCGGGTAGGTTGGAGGCTGCAAGGAAGGGCTGTGTAAGAAGCCGATCCCCGTAGTTCGCACCGCTCCTCCCCATCGGGCCGCATAAGCGGCCACGCCTCGCAGATTCGTTTCTCGCGCCTGGGTCAGGCGCGCGGGGCAAGTTCACAGCCTTGTTACTGAGAAGAAAATACGTCCTACGGCGCTGTGCGCTGGTCTGTGAGAGGTTGAGGTCGAGCCCTGTTCACAGAAACGCACAACCCCGGGCCCCGAAATCCTGTGTTCACGCACAACCCCGGGCCCGAAATCGCACAGAGACAGTCACGAAACACGAAAAAAAAAACGAGGTCCCAGGGAGGGCGAGCAAAAACCTCGTTTCCCCGCAAAACACAAAACCCCAGGACCGAAGACGCACAAGCACAGACAGTCGAGAAGGGAGAGACAGCAACGACAGTCAGAAGTCAAGCCTGTGTTCACGTAAAAAGCACAACCCCGGGCCCGTGTTCACGCAGAAACCCCGGAGCCTGTTCACACATTGCTGCGAGCGCGATCTTTTTGGGGGGTCCTGAGGGCACCCTACGCCAAGTAAAAGAGCCTAGGCTCCTATGGGAAAATGCCAACATTCAGATTTCCGCGTCCTTTGCGTTGTGTTGCTCCTTTCTAAAAGGTTGAAATTAGTAAAGGTTTTGGCTCCTGTGGGCGCACCCGCTCTCTCCCTCGCAAGACAAAGAATACGTCTCCCATCCACTTCTTTTGAAAGCTCAGTGTCTTGCGAGGGAGTTTTGATTTTGTGTTGTAGAAGGGGTCCGCGCGATCCTCAAGAAGCTCCCTCGCACGACACTGGTTACGCAACGGGACTGGCGCGAAGAATTCTTGACCAGCAAGCCCCTCTCACAGCAGACTGGCACGGACTGGCACCACAAAAGGCACAGCAGTCGAAGAAGAACTCTGAATGGGGTGCTGACGGCGTGCCGTCCTCATTCCCTCCCTTCGGCTCTCTGTTTCTTCTGCCACCGCAGAGCGGTGCGCGCCAAGTCCCGTGCTAGTGTCGTGCGATAAATAAATAAAACGGACACCTCTACGGCTCTAGTAGGAGATGGGTAAAAAGGAACAGGTCCCCGCCCTGCGGTCTGCGAGGGATTTGTTGTACAATTCTTTAACAAAGGCGGAAAACGCGACAGTGGCAGCGCTGCAGGGCAAGGGCTTTCGTCGTTACATGTTAGGTATCACTCGGAACTCGCTTCTCTCGCTAACTAAGCATACGCGACGCCGACCGTCGTCGACAGAGAGCCTCGAAAAAGGGCAGGCCGTGTTGATCGGCTCCGTCCCGCAGCTCGTCTCGACCTCGCTGTCGTCGTTGAGCCAAGTGTGCAGGCAGCGGTGGTGGAAGAGGTTCTTGCAGCAGCGCGTGGCGCCCCAGCCGTTCGGGTCGCGAGGCTGCAGTCGCGCCTCACGGTGTGCGCTGAGCTCGTCCAAGCAAATGCCGCACTCGGTCTCCTCAGCAGCTGTTCCGCGACCATGCCCGCAACTGCGGCAGCTGCCTCCACCTCCATCTCCGACCTCCATCCCCGCCTACCGGACTGCCTCGGCGCCAGCGGCAGAGGAAGGCTCGGGTGGCGGCGGCGGTGGTGGCGGCGTGGTGAGATCGGTGGTGTCCCTGTCCGCCTCCCTGCGGGCGTAGAAGAGCGCAGCTTGCTCGGCGGTGGCGAAGTAGCCGAGGCTGACTTGCTTGCCGCAAACCCACTCCTGCAGCATGTACTTCTTGGTGCCTTTCTGCTTCGGGCAGAAGGTTACGCCTTTGTAGCCGGTGCTGTTGTTGCTGCTGGCGGTGAGGGTGAGGCCCTCCCTCTCCGCCTGCCTTATCGCCTCGAGGCCAGCGGCAGTGAGAGCAGAGCGGGGCTGCAGTAGCTTGGCGGCGTCGGCGCGGCCGTACTCCGAGCGAGCGTAGGCGGTGGCCGCCTCTTCGGCGGTGTTGAAGCGGCCAAGGTGGACCCGCTTGCCGCCATCCCTCACCTTCGCCACGAATCTCTTTTTGCTGCGATCGTAGGTCACGTTCTTGTAGCCAGTCGTGTTCCGTTTGTCGATGGCTGGGATCAACACGAGGCGCTCCGAAGCCGGTGGCGTCCGCACGAGCGGAGCCATGGCCGAACACAGACTACCCGGGCGGACGATTTCTTTTCTGAGTTTTGTTGTAAATTCTTTCTTTTGTAAAATGGCGCGCGTTCTTTCTTTCCTTTCCTTTCCTGCCGTCCTCCGTCCCACGCCCGCCCTTTTCTTGCTTTCACAACGGTCAACGCTCCCGGTTGATGACCGGCTCCGGCTCAGGTCGTGGGGCAAGATAGCTCGGGTGTAAACGGGGTCTAGGGCGGAGGCCCCAGCGGCCCGCCGCAGGCGCCGCCGGAGGCTGGCCCGCCGCGGGCGCTGATTTCTTTGGCGTTTTCTCATCAAAATCGAGCTCGCTAGGAGCTCTCTAACTGCACAGCATCTCCTCGTTGAGCCTAGTGTCGTGCGAGGGCGAACTCGTCAAATTCTTTCAGCCTGAAAGTCCTAAAGTCCTATCGATAGGACGCGCGACTGAAAGGCCGACTGAAAGGCCGACGATCATCGCCGACGATCACTGCCGACGCACGATTTTAATTGCTTGCACCTGCGATGTCACGCCTCTGCTGCAATTTGCTGGCACTCCACCACATAAATAATCTTGCGCAGGTGCACGCCTTTGGTGCGACGCCTTCGGTGCCAATTGCACGTCCAAGTCCGAGCGTTGCAGCTCCACCGAGTCCGAGGGCGAGTCCAGGCGTGGAAGGGTTCAGTTACGTCCCAAATGACTGCCCGCTGAACTCAACAGTGCAGCTGGCCTCGGGTGGAAAAAAGGCTGAGTACTTCTTCTGCGGCACGCGCTTTGTCGCAGTTAAAACCCCCACCTGGCTCGCAAATTTCCGCGCCATCGCGGCACGGCCCGATGACGTGATTTTCGCGACGCAACCACCCGCCGGCAAAGCCAAAGAGGCTGGCTTGGGTCTCATCAAAGCTTTCACCGGCGCGCGCGAAGTGTCGGGCCACACCGAGTTTTACGACTTTGAAATGGACCCGTCAGGATCGGGTCTCAACCTCGAGGCACCAGGCCGGCGCCTGTTCGGGACCCACGTGCCGTTCGAGTGGTTGCCGACTTCAATCCTGAGCACGCCAGCCGGTCAGTCTCCGTGCAAGGTCGTTATGTTGGTGCGCGAGCCAAAGGAGTACATAGTCGCTGCAAACGATTTCGCTGGGGGGGGCGCTGCGGGCATCGACCCGCTCTTGGAGAGGCATGTCGGCGCAGCGCTTGGCTCTGGTGACGGCGAGATGGGTGCTGGCAGCCGCGGCTTCGCGGCCTTCACGAATGGTTACTCCGCTGCACTTGATGGCTCAGGCAACGGCGGCCCCAATGTGTTCCTGCTGAGCCAAACTCACCTGGCCAATCCATCCACAGTTGAGGCGGAGGTGGCCCGCTTGGCCGCGTTCCTTGGGATTTTGGACTACCAAGAGCAGATGTACGCGGATGCCATCTCCAAGGCGCAGTCCAGTGCTGCCACGGCGCTGGGTAGCGTGGGCAAGATGACCGCAGAGCAGGCTGAGACTGCGGACACCGTCTTCAAAGAACCGCTTGTCGACCAGCGGGCGACGTGCTTCTACTCGAGCACAATGGCATGCGAAGGCATGCCCTTTGGCACTGCACCTCCTGGCAACACTCCTGAGGAGGAGGAGGAAGAGGAGGGGGCAGGTGCTAGCAGTGGTGGTGCCCCAAGAGGTCGTGGTGGTGAGGAGGGGGAGACAGGTGGCCCCACAAAGGTTCAGGGTGGCGGCGGAAGCTTGGGCCGTGGCCGCGCCTAGGCGACTATGGAGTGACACCCACCCTGCACAAAGATCGCACGGGCGGGGACTTGCTCCTTGTTACCCATCTCCTAGTAGAGGTGTCCGTTTTATTTATGTATGCCCCAGCCCCAGTTCTGCTGATTGAGTTCGGAGGCGACGTAGCTGACGTATGCCCATTTGCACTGAGGGGAAGATCAGGGGTCGGGGATCTAGGAGAGAGGGGCTACAGGGGCGACAACATGGGCGATGGATATCGGGCGAAGGGCAGGGGCTAGGGCTACACACCTGCGTCTCGCCGGCGACGAGGGTGCCAACGTGGGCCTCGCTCATAAAGGTGCCGTTGACAAGCAGCTGCCCGTCACGGAGGGTGTAGAGCGCCTCCTCCAGGCGTACGTTGATGCTCAGCCCAGGAGCGGACAAGTAGTTGTACAGCGAGTTGTGCTTGCCCCTGAAGTCGGCGCGACCGCCGTGGGCGAGGTCCCAGTGTGGGTTCTTGATCACCTTGGCTAAATACTGTCCCGCGCATGGGTCAAGCTCGACGTCCGGACGCCAGAGCCAGCCAGCTCGCGAGTTGAAAGCGGCGAATCATATCACCGGAGACGCGCGCAGGTTATGGCGGACTGGATGGCAGAACGGACGGCCGAAGGCCAACCGCCGCCCTTTTGCGACTTGTTTTGGTTTCTTTTGAGCGCGAAGGGATGCTCTTCGTAAGTCAGCGGCGTAATGCCGAGATCACAACCCCGACGAGGTGACAACTTAAACCTTAAATTCTTTCCCAAGATCGGACCCCTAGCCACGCCCAAGCGTCCATGCAGCTCCACAGGAGAAGGTTGCTCAATTCGTTTGTGCAGGGGCTCTGCGGAGGTGGTGTGGTGTGCGCGCGTGCATGCGTGTGTATGTGCGTGTGCGGTTTACTGTGCAGCAAAAGGCGTTCTCCTCAGACGATCTGGCGGTCCAGCGTCGCTGACTCTTCCACAACGTCGTCGCCATTCGACGGCTCCGTGTTCGAAGAGGTGCCGCGGGCCTGCGTCGATCGAGCGAGAGTGGCGCGGCGCACGCGCGACTGAGCCGTCTGCTTGGTCGCTCCGAGCGCCTTTGCGAGGAGGGCGAGCGACACCTGCCGGTGCGGGTCCGAGTGGCAGCCGACGGCGAGGTCGTTGTACAGCCCATCGGAGAGCAGATCGCGCGGCGTCACCTCGAAAAAGTGGGCAAAGATGCAGCCGCCGCGAACGGCGTCGTTCTCGTGCGCCATGACGAGCGGCAGCTTGGCGCGGCGCGCGGCGCGCACCTGCTCTGCGAGCGCCTCGGCGCCATCGTCGGCCCACGTCGCCTCCTTCAGGTAGAGCAGCATGTGCGTCGCCTCGCCGCCGCCATCTCTTCTCGCGCGTCGAGGTAGCGAAGAGAGGAGCAAGGAGAGGCGCGAGAAGCGCGAGGAGCGAGGCAGCGAGAAGAGGCACGAGGGCGGTGCGTCGGTGATCGAGATGCCATCAGGCACAGCCGCCGCGACCGCATCGGCAAGCCCTCGCGCCCCGTCATTCAAAGTCGAGGCCCAGAGAACCACCGGCTTGGGGAAGGCGAGGTCGTCGGCTCGGATCTCGCCCGGGATGCACAGGGGCAGCTCGTCCTCGCCCTCGTACTTTGGCGTCTTCAGCAGCAGCGCCTCGGCGATGACCTTGAGCGAGGCGTGCTGGAAGGCCTCGATGCGATGCCACACCGCCATCGGCCAGCCGGCGTCGAAGATGGCGGCCTGCAGCTCCTCGGGGCACTCGGATCGCAGCTCGGCGAGCGTGCCCCCGCCCTTGTCCGGGTCTGCCTCGTGGACGAGCACGAGCGGCTTGCCCATCTCTAGCGCGGCGCGGACCTCGCGCAAGCAGTTCGTCGAGCGCAGGTAGCCCCGCGATAGGAAGCAGAGCACCACCTGCGAGCGACCAACGTACGCCTCCAGCTCTCCGATGTTCTTGAGGTCGTCGACGTCGAGGAAGATCTCGCAGCCGGGCAGGAACTGCTGGAGCTCATTCTTGATGACGGCGACGGCGTCCTACACGGGAGGAAGGCAGGTCAGGTTTATCCGCACCTTAAGCGGTGGGACAAGGGGTGGCAAACCTGCCCCGTGCTCCAGACGTGGCTGAGGAAGAGGTGCCACTGCTGACCGTCGGCGAGGGTGATGCCGTCGCGCATCGGCTCGCGCATCGACGAGACGAGCCGCATGGTCTTCGCTCTCGAGGCGCTGACCGCCGATACGAGGATGACGATTAGCGAGACGGCGAGCATGACCGCGGTGAGGACGACGGCAAAGGTGCTGGCGCCGCGCAAGGTCTGGTAGCCGACGAGGTTGTAGCACATGTCCTCGTACATGGTGCTGTCGCACAGCTGTGGTGGCGAGGTCGGGTGTGGTGAGTTGCGCGGTTACGGGAGACAGAGAGGGACGGTGAGGAATTTCAGCGGGGGCGCGGACCTGGATGACCACTCCCGAGGCGAAGCAGCATGTGAGGAGCAGGTTGGCGATGCACGCGAGGCAGAGGTCGTCGGAGCGCCGGTAGGGGCGGGCGAGGGCGAGGATGGTCGCAAACATGGCCGAGACGACGCCGGCGACCACGGTGCGCAGCAGCTTCCTGGAGCCGTACTCCTGGTCGATGAAGAGCACCATCGAGGTGAGGAAGATCTTGCGGACCAGGTCGAGCACCTCCCAGAAGAGGAGGCCGGCAGAGTAGTCCCGCCAGAGGAAGCTCGTCGCGCTGGAGAGCAACGTTGCGCGCTGCGCAGCCACAGGCTTGCGGACGCAGAGCAGCAGCGCCAGGAAGCCGAGCGGCACGAGGACGGGCCAGAGGGCAAAGAAGGTCCAAAAGTACGGCTCGAGTCCGCTCGTCTCGTCGTCCCACGTCGGACCGGCGTCGCACGTGAGCGACGGGTCGGCGAGCAGGTAGCTGATGCGCTGGCCTGTGGCGTCGTCGTAGCCAAAGGACTCGCACAGCCTCGCGCTGAAGATGGAGCGCGAGACGGAGGGAAGCACCAGGTAGAAGATGAAGATCGCCCAGTAAAGGAGGCGGCCAAAGAGGTTGCGGTCGAGTGCCTGCTTGTTGTTGAGGACCGCCGCCACCGCCACAATGGCGAGCGACACGAAAGCGACGGCGGCGTACGGCCAGAGGCCCGCGACGAGCAAGCGCGTGCTCATGGCTCCGATGCAGCGGCCCGGGATGGCAACGCCGAACAGGTCCAGGCTGAACAGCTTGAGCACGTCGAGCCAGCGCGTAAAGCGCTCGTCGAGGCGGACGCCGTAGACGAGGCCGAGGGTGCTGCTCACC